AATATATCTAACATTTTATCAATATAGTCCTTAAGACTAATTTCAATACAGCCTTGTGATACACTCAAGTTCATTCCCAAGAACTTCGTTGGTATCCCCAAGTCTTTCATCTGATATTTGCTGAATAGAAAGGCCTTTACCTTCTCTACTTCTTTTTCATTGGGTCCAAAAACTAACATATCGTCCACATAAAGTGCGATCATGACTAGTTCAGTTTTGTTCTTCTTATAGAACAAACATGGTTCAGCTTCACACTGACCAAAACCAAATTGCAAAATCCCTTTTCTCACCGTTTCGTGCCAAACTCTCGGTGACTGCTTTAGTCCATAAATTGACCGATTCAATTTATACACCATGTTTTCTTTTCCATCGACAACAAAACCCTGTGGTTGTCGCATGTAAATCTCTTCCTCCAAATAGCCATTCAAAAAGGCTGTGGATACATCAAATTGCCGAAGCACCATATTTTTCTTCGCAGCAAGTGCTAACAAAAGTCGCAAACTAGTATAGCGAATAACTGGAGAGAACGTTGTATCATAATCAATTCCTTCTGTCTGATGGTTCCCTAAAGCCACAAGTCGTGCTTTATATGTACCATTGTCTTTGAGTGCAAATACCCAAATACAACCAATCGCTTTCTTTCCTTTTGGAAGATTTACCAACTTCCCAAAAGTCTTCATCTTTTCATGTGCATTCATTTCACTATCCATTGCACCAAGCCACTTCAATTTAGATGGTAGTTGTAATACCTGCTTATACGACTTCGGAACTGTTTTGTCCTCATGCTTCGCCAAGCTGTAAAGAGTCGGAATCCAATCGATCTCCTCGTCTTTGATATCCACTTTCCATCGTGTCACTCTTAGTTCTGCTTCTTGAAACTTCTCCGGATCAATATCTTCTGCCACATCTTCATTGTCGTCCTTATCTTTTAAGTTGTTAAGATAAATTCCCCCTGATGCGGAAATTCGTTTGAAGAACGCAATCTGAAGAAGCCGGGTAACCCTTTTATTCTGAGGTGGATAGATTCCAAAATCAGTATCCATGGGATTATCTCTTCTCTTGAACCGTGAATCCATAGCAAACTTCGAGCGAAGTCTCGTTGCAACTGGTCCATCAGATACATAGAATTCCTGAGTCAGTGGAACTCTACGTAACTGATCCACATCGATCATATCATCGTCTGGTTCAATTACCTCGATGTTATTGTATTGCGATTGATCAGCAACTAAATCTGTATGATGAGGAACAACTTCTAAAATCTTATCACGCTTGATCATTTGCCTTTCTTCTTTCTTAAGTCTCTGCCTATTGGCCAGTCTCTGTTTAAATGTTAACGCCTTACGTTTTCTCCACTTACTTCGTTCAGAGGAATCCGAAGGTGTTAATTGCAAATTTCCTGTTTGCGTGATTAGTTCTGAGGAAAGATTTCGTTGAGCCAGTTGATCATGAGTTGAATCATATACCTTTAGTTGCGATTCCAAAGGTATATTCTCCTTAATTACGTCCACGACAGTTTCATCAGCTGGTTCCACTGTTTCGGTTAGGTAATCATTGGCAATTGGATCTTCCATCTCATTATCAACCAGTTCTTGAACTTCTTCACCAATTGTATCCTCTTCGAATATCACCATATTCTGAGGTATATTCTCTTTTGACAGCGAACCTTCTAGATTAACTGCATCTTCAGTAGCAGTATCTTGGGAAATCATGGGCCCTAGAGGGTTCTGCATATCTGCTAAAGTTTGATCCACTTGAATGCTGGCCAGCCTTTCAGTAGGAAGAGATCCTTTAGCAAATACTTCTGTCCTTTCACCTGATAACGGAGGTTGATCATCCGGAGTCGCACCTTGGTTATCATTTCCAAGATCCACCACATTGAATAGATTTCTGTAATCATCTATCGATACCTTTCGAGATTGTTGCTTCAATGGAGGTAATCCCCCAACATTTCCAACCAATCCACTCGAATATCTTTCTATTACTTTGTGGATTTGTTCACCATGTTTATCAAAGTAGAAAGTCAGACGGTCAAATACCGCTTGATCCGAATCAAAGATAGCATCTGCTTGAAACGAGAAGAACCTTCCCGCAGCTCTACCAGGCAGTTGGCCTAAGTAAACTGCTTCCACTGCACGAGTATGAAACTTCGATTTAGGATGATGATCTGGAATATGTGCATACGCCAAACTTCCAAAGATTGGAGTAGAGAAGAACTTTGGCTTGTCTCCTCTCCACTTATCCACAGGTCTCATCATTGCAATCGAAGCACTTGGAGTCCAATTAAGAATCTCCACACTTGTTCTCAACGCATCTGTCCAAAAGACTGTTGGCATATTCGCGTCAGCGAGAAGTGTTCTTACCTTTGTCTGAATATCTCTTTGTTTCTTTTCTACCATACCATTTTGATGATGGCTTCCAGGCACCGTGGTTTCATATTTTATTCCTTTATGAAACATCCACGTCCTCATGTCTTTGTTAATGAATTCACCACCATTATCTGATCTTAACGCAATACAAAAGTTCTTTCCACGGAACTTCGAGAAGCTATTGTTAACGAATTCTTTAATATAGTATCCTGCATCACTCTTGAGAATGAGAGGTACCGCATGAACGTATCTAGAGTAGTCGTCCACTATCGTCACAAAATATCTCGACCTGTCATATGACACATCTGGAAATGATCCACAGATGTCCACATGTAGAATTTGCATTGGATAATCTACCGTTGTTCTGAATGAAAACTTTGGGTAATGCATTGTAGATCTAGCAAGCGCGCATGCCTCGCATTCTAACGTTCCAATATGATTAACCCCTTCAAGATTCTCCATTTGTTTAATCTTCTTGAATTGATTCTCATTTGGATGACCATATTGTCGGTGAATTTCCATAGCATCGAGCTTTGAAACTTCATTAACATCAACATCCAATCTTCTTCGTTTGACCGAGTAAATAACCTTGAGATGATATTGCATCTTTCTTCGAAAGCCTTTGGTCAATTGATGATCTTCAGGTATCCCAGTCCCAAGCCAGTAAATTGTGCGAGGTGGTTGTACTACCTCGAACTCAATTGTAGCTTTCTGGTTTCCCAATTGTCCACCAATTACCTCTCCCGACTCAAGAGTTATTATATCTCCTGTTTTACTGACAACTAGATTTGCAAAGATACCATCTTTCTTACCTTCTTTTAAGCTATCTGTCTTTCAGATCTAGATCGTCTGTGTTTCTCGAGATCTACTCCAATCAATCTAATAAACTCAACTTCTTCTTCGTAAGAGTTCAGAGTTACTGGAGTCTTGTCACTAATTCGGTATTTTTCAAATACTGCACTGATTTCTGAAGCTCTGTACAGTTCCAATAAGTACATGCAAATTTCTACCAAAACTGAATGCTTCATCCTGGTCAACCTTGAGGATTTTTCATTCACTCCTTGAGAGTTTCTCATTTCACTCATCAAGTATTCCGCAATTTTCACATGATCTTCCGTGAATTTTTCGGGATTAGGCTGGTATGTTTCCACAAATTGATGAATATGTTCTCGATTGATAAACATGTTCCTCAATTTACTCAGAATCAACACGTCTTCTGACACATTCAATTTGAACATTATGTCTAAGAAGTTGTTTGACAATGACTGCATCTTTCTTCCGATTATCATATCTTGTTCCAGAGAAAGATCAAACCTCTTTTGTAAACC